TAAACTATTTTAAATTTTTATACTTTTATTTTATATTTAATTAATTCAGACATTTTTCACATATTTTGGGTAACATGTTTGAAGAATAATTTATGAAAAAAAACTATGAAAAGTTTTTGTCACATTCAGTCACATGTGTGGAACCATTTTTCGTTTTTTTTTTAATGAATAATTGCTTAAAATTTTCACTATAATATTAAAAAAATAAACAAGTATATTTTTTATATGATTATTCATTAATGTCTAATATTAAAAAAAAAAATTATGAATAAATGAATGAATAAACTATTCTGAATTGCTTTCAAACTAAACGAGAATTTAAAAAAAAATTTGTTTTTTTTCATTCATTTCAATGTCATCGAGTTTATGAAACATATAGAATGAAACTGCTTATTTTTCAAAATTTTCATGACTTACGTATGTATAGTTTGTCCATATACAACACGTACGTCATCTAATATAATATTACGTGTGTACATTCATTCGTACATGTGCCTCGTATTAAGCAGAATATGTGTTCAAAGCAATTATTCTAAATTAATGATTATGTTTAGCGAATAGCATTTTATTAAATTTTAATATTTAAGTTATGTCATTAATTAATTTTAAAGTTGTTGCCACAAGACTTTACAAAAAAACTAATTCATTCTGTTTCATTCTCTGTAATTTTCTAACATTAAATTAATTTGCTCGAAATATTTTTTAGCCTTTTTCAAAAATATGCGTCCGTCATAATACATCTATACAAAATTTTTGTTCACGTCGAACGCTTAAAAATTATTTTTGAAATGAAAAGTTGAAAATTATAAAATCCAAGAAAATTTTTCTAATTTAAATTAGCGCATAAAAATGCAACGGACCCGCGTAATAATTCAATAACTTCTCAATACACAATCTTAGAATTTGAAAATTTTTGAGTACTTTTTTTCCATAATGACTCAATTTCAATTCTCTTTAATTTCTCAAAACAGTCTGCATTCTCGATGATTCAATCAAATCGAATTTTGTGTTTAAATATTCATTTCTCTATTATCCTAAAAAAACAAATTCATTTTTAAAACATAGCTACTTATATATTCAAAAAAAAAAGTCTGAATTTGAGTCCAAGTGAAACCGTTTTATTTGAAAGAAATTTTATTTTTCTCTATTTTTATGTTCCGATAAACTTTTTTTTCATCAACTGTAGTGAAGAGCAAGTTTGGAAAAAAAAAAGTTATTTCCTTCTTCCTTCTGCTTTATTTTTTTTTTTCATTTTTCATTAATTACCACTGACATTTTAACCAGCATATAATAATTCATCATCTGTTGGCCATATTGAAGGAAAAAGTATATATGTATGTACGTATGAAAAGAATAACCCCAGAAAAGTTAAACTAAAAGTCATAAAACTTTTCCCCTATTTTTTTTTTGTTGTTGTTTTTTTTTTATTCCAATTTATTCCGTCGATGTTTCAAAACTGATTTTGTTGCATAATTAATGCATTATTTTAGAATGCATCAAAAGAAGAAGGAAAACAAAAAACGAAAGAACCATAAAACAATCAAAGTAAAAGTTTTCCGTTTCGATCGTTCAGATTTGAAGGTTTGAATAATAGTTTTTGCTCAAATTTTTTTTTGTTATTCTCTTTTTTTTCAAGTTTTTTTTCTTCTCTTTTTGTGTCAGAATATAGAGGGAAAAGTTATCAGTTTCAATTTGTCAAAGTGACAAGTAAAATCTTTATTTAAAGACATTTCTATTTTTTTTTTGCCTGAAGCGAAGAAATAAAATTATCGGAATATTATTAGAGGGGGGGGAAAGAGGACAGTGATTATACAGTGATAATTAAAAAAAGAAGAGCATTGAAATTGATTGAAAATAATTAATTTTATTTTTTATAATTTATTATTTTCAATTGATATGAAAATGTATTAATTTACCTGAATTCAAAATAATTAAAATTCGGTTAATTCTTATTTGCGAAAATTTTATAGATTTAAAATATTTTTAAGAAAAAAAAAATGAGTGCAAATTAAAAAAAAATAAAGAGTATTATAAATTGTAAGATACTATTGAATCCTTAAGAGAAATCGAAGGATCAATGAACAAACTCGCTATGAACGCTTGACTACCACGAGACAGTTATTCTTGGAGTAATTTTTCTGACAGCTCCAATAACATTTGCTACCTGTTCATATTATGGGAAAACTTGAAACCTATTTCCTACAAAAAATATCGCAAAGAGCCGCTAAGAAAATTCGAGAATATACGTAGTAAAAAAATTACGAAAAATGCACAAGAATAATTTTTTTGCAAATTTTTTATTCTTTACAATAATTGTATTCTCCTAGAAGTATGCAATATTTCTCCAAGACATATGCAATATTTCGCGATTTAAATTTAAAAAATTCAAATATTTTACAAAATCTTTTAAAATTTCTAAATTTTAACGAAATTAAATTCTTAAATTAACCTAATTTATGTATTTAACTATTGATTGTTCAATTGTATTTAAATTAACCTTATTGTAATCGCACTTGTAGACATAAACCTATTAAATAGCATAGGTACACATTTAAATATTTTTGTCATAAATTTTTGATATGAGTTTGTACTTGGGAATACCCAATACCCATTTACTATCAAAATTTTATTCTATACTTATTTGCCTAAGTTACATTAAAAAAAAATCAGCAAAACAAAAGTCTTTTTCATTTAAAAATCAACAAAACGAACAAAACAAATTAAACATGTAAAAAGACCATTGACATACAGAAAACTTCACCATTATCTCACTAATGTAGAATTCACTAAAGAATTAAAGCCCAATAAAACAAAATTTTACAATATTTCATAACATGATCATTAAATTATTATTAATAATTTATGAGAAAATTTTTGACAAAAATTTTTTCTCTATTTAAAATACAAATTTTTTACTTCTATCATGGCTAGACATAAATTTATTACAGCAATTAACAATAAAAAAAAAAGGAAAAAAAAAAATGGACAGAAAAATGTGTTCATTTTTTTTCTCTTTTTTTTTATTAATATTTTGTACAAGTTTTGTTGGCAAAATGCTAACCAAAAGCCTGAATTCATTGACCTGCTTATATTTTTATTATGAAAAAAAAAACAGTAAAACTGAAAAACAAAACTCTTTTCAAGCACAAATAATAAAGAAAAAATAGACCCAAAGGATTCGAAGTAAACAAAAATTTATCAAATAAATAAAAACAAAATAGCAGTTACATTGTAAACCTTTTTTGTAAAAATAAAAATACGTGAATATAGAAACGTAAAATAAATTAGCATACGAACGAAGGATTTAATGAACGAATACTAAAAACTTGCCTTAACAATGCGAATAAGCCATTTAATATGAATTACTTTGACAATTCCACACTTTTCAAAATTTTTTCAAATCTGTGTTAGAGTAAGTTTATTATAAAATTATGTTTTGTACTCTTTTCCGAGCTGAAATCATCTGGAACTGCTGTTTTTCCTTTGTTTTTTCTCATAATTCTCAAATAATTTGCTAAATTTCAAAGGCTTAAACTTAAATGGTGCCATAAAACAGTATCCATTATTCAAATCTGCTCTCGAATTTCAAATTTCACGAAAGTTCTTTCATCAAACTTATAAGATAATTTTGATACTTAAAATTTCAAAATAAGCAAAAGTGTCTTGTTATCCAAAGCATGTCAGCCTCTCTCGAACAATTGAAATTATTTAAGTTGTAACAGCACTACACACCCTAGTTTCCTTCTCAAATAACATTTCACACAATTTTAATTGAATTTACTGGATTTACACAACTATACAATTTTTAATTTACTAGAAACTAGGATTAATTGTTTAGATTACTAATTTGATGTCATTTTATATAATATGAAAAAAAGGAGAAAATCTACTACTAAGAATATCATCTTCAAATCTAATTTAAAATTAAATATTGAATTTTTTTTTTAATTTTAAAAATAAACTAAAAAGAAATTACACAAATGTAGAATTTTTTCACATAACTGTAATACTATTACGGCAATAATTCGCTCAATAAATAAATTTTTGAGCACAAAAACTAAACCAAAAAAAAAAATTTAACAGTAAAAGTTTTTGTACTTTTATATTTTATATAGACTAAAGCAATTACCCTAGTATACTTTTAAAATTTTATGAACCATTTCAATATTACAGAACATCTGTTACCCCCTAATCTTTTAAACATGCACGTATAATCGTACATGTATATATAACATATAGTCATATATAACATGTCAAAAATATGAACTCAGTTAAATTTTAAATGTCATTTTCAAATTACAAAAAAAAAGCTCCTTTGCTTTTACTCCTTGTAATTTATTTCTTTTTTTTTAATTGTACAATAAATGCACAATAATAATTGTAAAATTCACATTTTATTTGGATGGTAACGTACTAGGGCTTGTACGTACATGATGTTGACAAAAATGATATAGGATTATTAAATTATTTGATTAATTGTTCCATTTCTCTTCTCACCACAGCAGTTTTATTAAATATTTATTATACGTTCTGTGGTGATAAGTAGTTGTAAACTCAACAAAAACAGAGAGTTTAATTTACTTTTTCTAAATCACTCTCAAGTGGTTACTATTACAATGCTGCTAATGTAGTATAAACAAAATTTCTCTTTCTTTCTATAATTTTGTATGTTGTAAAGGCAAAATGACATCACAACCCTTAGAACTACTGCCACAATGTTTTAAGGTCAAAAAACTATTGCACTAAAACTTGCGTTCTATCTCTATGCTAACTCTGCTGCTATCCTCAAAATTTGAATATTGTAAAATTTCTTCTTTAAAATTACAACATCTTCCCAGAGTACCGCAAACACTTATTGCAGGCAAACATTTTCTGTTCACTGTGTCTTGAATGTGTTCACATCCACTTGTATAAATTGAAATAAAAACATTATTTTTTTACAACAAATATTATTTTTTAAAGAAATTTAATTTTTTCATTTTTTTTACTTTTAATTTCAGCGTCTCCAGCATAAAGCTTTAACTATCAAGATAAAAGGAATTAAACAATAAAAAAATTTTTTCTCAACTTAGTTAATTGGTAACATAATAATTTACTAACCCTTTAGTCAAAAGGTTCTTTCAAATAATTGAAGCGGCATAAAATATAGCACTAATTAAAGCAAAAAAAAGCAACATTAAAGCAACATTAAGGCAACATAAAAGTAACTGAAACAATAACAATACTACAAAATAGCAGTGTGCATACAATAAGAAAAAAAAAGATTTTCATCTGAAAAATGAAAATTCATAGCAGTAAATTACTGACGCGACAACGTCACAAAAAAATAATCTCTTTATTTAATCTAATTGTTGTATTAGAATTATTTTCATTTATTAAAATGGTACCAGCTCCAACAAGTTCCAATAGTAGTAATAATCCAAATAGTAATATACATTTAAATTCGAATATTAATAGTAATTTAAATAATCAAATGATTCATGGTATTAATTCAACATTAAATAATAATATAAATGGTAGTAGTATTGGAAATACTGGTATTATTATTAGTGGTAGCGGAATGAGTAGTAATATTAAAGAAATAAAAATATATGATAAGTGTACTGGTCCCGGTGACCCCGGTCCATGTAAAAATTTTGTATATAGATGGCGATATGAACAAACAACTGATTCATGTATACAATTTATATGGGGTGGTTGTGAAGGAAATAATAATAATCGTTTTAGTACTGAAGCTGAATGTCAACTTCATTGTATTGGTGATCAACGTAAGAAATTTTAATATTTTTTATATTTTTACAAAAATTATTAATAAATAAATTTTTATATTTAAAGATACACCATCAACAAATATGGTTACAACAACCAAAAGTCCAGCTGAACCAACTGAATCGGGTGATGATAAAATTGATATACAAACACAAATACCACCAGATCAAAATCGTCCACAACCAAGTGAATCAAATGATCCAGAATTAACATTTGAGGAGAATGGTACAGAGAAAACATTTATGTTTGCTAAAAATAATACTTTTATACAATTGGATGGTGAAATTATACAAACATTTCAATTAAGGCAAGTTTATTTATATGGCATTTTATTTTAGACAAGTAATTTATATTGCATGTGTGGGACTAGTAATGTGGTAAACATCATTTATTGTTGTTTATCACATATGTAATTAAACGAGCAACTAAGTGATTTTAATCTATATTTCGTATCAAAATGTCAATATGTTTGATCATTGTAGGTCCTTCATGGTTCACTTACATGAGCATTATTTTTAGGGGTCTAACGAATCTCTGTATTTTATTTCAGGAGGAAATCAATACTTTATGCTTACGCAGTTCCCTCAATTGAAATAGGTTGTTAATCTATGACGATTATTTACAATAATTTATTAAATGCCAGAGTGTTGAATATAAAAAGAAAAAATTCAACGTATCTATAGCAAATTTAAAATACCTATATAACAATTTCTTTAATAATTTTCAATTGAACAACATCCTCAAAAAATCTCGAGGAACTATAGAATTAATCATAAAATATCCATATAAGTAATTGTATAATTCACAATGTACTAGATTTCTTTTTAAAGACTTTTTCAATCTTTAACAATTTAATCAATATAATAAGAAAGATTATGTTTCTACAATACATACTAAATTTCCTTTTGGCCGGTCTTCTTGTAGATTGTAGATTTTAAGGGAACCGAGTGGGACAGGAGTAGCCCCCCAAGCCACCGCAGCCATTCTCGACTTATTGCAGCCTTCCCACGCTCCCATCTATAGTCTTCTTAAAAGCTATACCTTTTTTTTCTATTATACCATTGCGGTATTGCAACTTTCCACAGCAAGTAAATAATTCATTTCCAACTTGAAAGCTACATCACACTGTTACATTCTTGTTAACTCGGTTCTTGAAAATAAAAAAAAATTTTAAGTTCAATATTTTTATATAGAAAAATATTTTTGATTATCGTGCAATTTTGTTTTAATCTTAAAAATTCTTTTGCTGTCATTCTTGTATAAGAAATTTAAAGTATCGATTCCTTGATATTTATAAAGATTTCTTTTGTTAATTTTTTATATGATCAACTATAAACTTTATTTAAATTCAAAAGAATTTAATAATACACTAATTAGGGATAACCAGAAACGTTTTTTTTTTAATCAAACAAAAAAGATGAACAAATATTTTTAAATGACAATTTGAACGAGTTGCCGACGTCAGGTTTTAATATTTTTATTATCTACATTTTTATTTTTAATAAGTTCAAATAAATGGTTTAGAAAATTCACTCAAAAAGTATTCTATTCAAATAAACTATTTTATTATTCGATAAGTGTACTAATTTTAAAATTGCTTAGAATGCGCATTGATAAAATTCGTCCCACATAACAAGTTTTGAAATTTGCAAAAACTTTTTAACTCTCCATTAAATAAAAACGATAAAATTTCCATTTTCATATCAAATAAAGCATTCAAAATCACGTTAACAAAGATTTTTTATATATGTATATTTTTTTTTGCCTTTCTTTCATTTTATTGAAATATAATATTCCTAGCTTTTATCAGTTTTAATAATTTTTCAACACTCTAAACTTTCACAGGCAAAAAAAATTATCAACAATTTGAGTTTCAAAAAAAATAATCGTATACGTTTACAATAACGGGCAGAGCCATTTATAGAATCACAAAAAGGAGTAACAATAAAAACAAAAAAGATAAAAACTCGTTAATTTTTTTTCTATAAAAATTTTTTTTGTTAACGTATTGGTTTTTTAATTAAATTTTTATTTATTGATTTTGGTTTCGTATATGTTACCAAACTCAATGCGATCTATTCATAACTGCACGTATCCTAACCGCACATACATACATGGAGATAGAAATAAAAAAGACTCAAATCCCGTATACATACATATTTGTGTTTAGTAGATACTATAAACATTTTTTTTCAACGCCTTTTAAAACGCCAATAAACAATAAGATTTTCAGTTTTTTAATATTCCATACTTTATTAACATTGGTATTCAAAAATGAATTAAGAAATTTTCTTTAAACATTATAAATATTACGATTCGTGCATAATAAATATTGATACTGTTCAGATCATGCTGAGTATTGAGTAAAATGAATTCTCTTTTGGCATTAATGGGAAGAAATGGGAAACAACTGAATTTTTTAAATTGATTACTTTGTTCAAATACGAATGATAAAAATTATACATATAAGGATATATAAGTAAAACATGATTATTCAACTAACGGACAACTGTGACTAATTAAAATCCGATGAATTTTGTGAATTTATATGAACTAAAAATTAAAAATTTTAAGAATACAGCAGCTGAACTTTCAGTATAATATTAATTTACAAGTTTAAAATATCATAGTGGAAATTCTGATTGAACTTACCGAAATACAAATTTATATAAATCTTCTGAATATTTTGTAGCTTATCCAGCAAAGAAATTAACCCGATAAAATAAATTTTTAATTCTTAAAGAAGAAATTTTCACGATAAAATAAATTTTTATGCTGGAATTTAACCAATCAACATGTAGCAAAATTCAATCATGACTGAACTGACTAACATTCAAACACGTTAGTGTTGACGTCGATGCAAAATATACATTGGATATCTTTTTGGCTGGATTGTGAAGAGACGATGATAGCGCTGCGCCGCAAGAATATGATTGCAATAATATCAACATTTTAATTTTGAACTATGTTTAGCATTAGCTGAAACCAAGTAAATTAGCGAATTCACAAAGCTATAAATCTGAAAATATTACCTTAATATCACTGTTTCATTATTTTAATTAAGGTTAAGCTTCAATAGCAATACAGAACATAAAACACAATACATTTACGTACGTACATATATAGGTTATAGGTAACACGTACATTCGCATTACACATTGGCAAGGCCCGTTGCGATACCGCTGAATTCCTGCTACCTATATTCCTACATTCAAATTACAAAAACTTCCTCCTTATTATTTTTTCAATATTTTTCGAATTTCTTTCTTTAATAGAATTTTTTTAAAAATTTATCAGAACTTTAACAACTTAACTCTGTCTGAATTTTTACAACTTAACTCGATCGTTACCCTATTCTAAAATTCAACATATCATAAATTAGATTTTCATTCACTTAATAAAATCTCATATCGCGACCTGCAACCTTGTGCCCATCCAAGAATAATTTATAAACTTCATTTAACTTTTATTCAAACTCACGTTATTCCTTTAAATGCATACATACACACATATACATCCTTGAATAATTTTTTAATAAATTTCTTTTTTCTATATTCCAAAGAAAGTTAAATTGAAAACAATTTAATAATAAACTTAAATATTTATTGTAACATTATTATATTATTGCAAAAATATCCAAGTTCAAGTAACTCTAAATAACCCGTATGTATAGTGCTTTATATAATATTATTTAAAACCCAGAGTATCAAACCGACTACTTTCAAAAAGGAATGTTCATCGTTGATATAAGAATAGACGGCACATACGAAAATATGATACACATCAATAACAAAAACCGTTATTACGTTTATGCATAAAATAAACAAGAAAAATAAAAATGACTTCGAATTTCCAATCATAAATTTTATCTAAGACCAGTCAACGGTTTTTAATTAATTTTATAAGAAACTGGGGCGAAAAAAAGAAACTGTAATTGTATGTACATACATACATATTTACATATTAATTATTATTCGAGCTATTTTAGGTTAGGTTTTACTGCATAAAAGTAGAACGTACACAATTGATATTGACCAATGACCCCCATGTTGTTAACTTTTGTTTAAAAACCCTGCAGTTGTGTAACATTTGTTCATTTAGTTGCTTGATTCCAATTAGAGCACATTAAAACTTTTTTTAATCAACCGAGCTGAACAGCATTATGTAATTAAGAAATACTTTTATATTTTGCATCTGTACTACCATACTGAAAAAAAACTTAAGCAACATTAGTGACAGTTTTGATCTCATCGTTTAGATATTTCTTTAACTCAGCTTCTTTCTTTCTTTTAACTTTCAGCAAGTTTTTATTCCAAACAAATTTCTTTACATGGGAAAATGTTATATCATAAGTGGATATGAACAAAGTTTTTTCTAAATATTACTTAAAATATTTGAAGTTTAAAATGAAAACATATGAAAATATTTGTCAAATTTAATTAAAAATAAGAATTTTACATCGCATTCAAATTTGATTATATTGTAATTTTCTTTTAATGAATCTATTCTGCTAATTCCGCTCCAGATTTTGACATATGTATTGTACTAAAATAATGTATTGTTAAAACCATCTGGCGTCGTAATTATAAATTTTTTTACGTCAAATGAATGAATGGAAAAGAAAGACAGACTCTACGGCACTATAATCTATTAATCTTTATTAACCTTTTAAGTGTGTTCATAAACCATAAAATTCAAAAAGTTATGTAAAGTAACTAGCAAGAAGGAATCGTTTTTTTACTGATTCGAACTTTAAATTATATATGACACATTTGTTTAAGAGACAACCCTAATATTATGTATGTTTGCGATAATTTTTTCGTTCAGTACTTCATGGAGAAGTTGAAGATATGTCAAAATAAAAACCGCTACCTAATTACAAGTGTTTGCAGGAGATTTTTGCATCAATTCCCCATGTACAGAAGATTCATTTGAAAGGGGAAAGCATATGAAAACCATTTGCTCTGTTTATATGACAGATTTAAGCGTATTTGAAGTGCTTTCCATGCCCATATTTACTTTACTTGATTTGAAGCCGACACCACTCCAGTTAATCAAAAAGTATTGTAACGATGTAATTGATGAAAAAGCACCTTGTGTAAATAGGCAAAATACGGATATTTTTTTCTAATATAGTATTTGACAATTAATTTCGGTTGTAGTTGGCTGCGCTGAAATTGAAAAATAGAGTTTTAATATTGCAAGCTAACTGTCATTTCCAAATTTTTATTTAAATTGCAAAAAATAAAAGAAGCTTTCTTTTTTTCTTTATTAAGTACAAAAATTTTATTTTAAATTTTTTTAATATACATTGTGTATACAGAACTAAAATTCAGAAACAAAATTTCACATTTTATTAAAAAAAATATAAATTGGAAATTCAGCAAGAGAATGGAAATTGAGAATGGCGCGTGTTATATAATTTGAAAGCAAAACTAGAAGCCCGCCCAATAGTTGAATTACGCTTATCCAGTTTCAAATTAGAATTCTTGTTTTATTAATTAAATTAGAAACATACGTATGTATATACTTACGATGTCTGGGCATTTCCAAATCCAATTGGACTTTTTACTTTTCACGAAAGAAATGAATGGATGGTGACTAACATTCGTATAGACAAATTTAAGAATAAACTAGATAAGTACATACGCAACGCGAAAAATTCCAACAGAGAATTACACTGAAACTCCAACTGAGAATTACGCGAAACTCCAACAGAACATGATCTTCACATTCTTGCTATGCGGCGAGTTAAAAAATCGAGAAACGATAAGACTAGAACTAGCTGTGGATGGGTTGGCAAAGAATTTAATATGTAAGATATAATGTGATTGATAAATTGAAAATGTTTATAAGCAGTTTTCTGTTTAATCCAACTTTTTTATAATATGAACTAGCAATCTAACTGCCAACCTACTTACGTCTGTAAGTATGGAAATAAATATCAAAATTGTTCGTGATATTACAACGAAACACAAGCAAATTCATCCGCTAACAAATGCATTCTGAATTTTTAACCAAATTTAATTTACTTAAAAATTTCAATATTTGGAGGACTAGCTATTTATGGATTTTCAATTAGAAATTTGCTTGTGAGTTATGATAGATATATAGAGTCTTAAAGTTAATTTGAATGAAAACATAAAGCCCAATGAATCCAAAGTCTTTTTCAAATAAATTGTATAATTTTTTAAATCAAAGGGATCAAATTATAAAAAAAATTTTTTTGTAATTTTTTTTTTATTTTTAATTATACGAAATTGTTTCACATCAAAAAATAATACATTTTAATACCCATACATTTACAAAAATATCCTTAAAAGGATATAAAAGCTAATTATAAAATTTTGAAACTTTATAACAAAAAAAAAAAACTAAGAAAATTAAATTTTTGATTTTTTTTGCGGTTTTAATTCAACATTTTCAATTTTTATTTTTACTTTACTTACGACAACAAAAAACAACAAGTAACAAGCAAAAATATGAATTGAAACAAACTTTAAAACAAGAAGATTCTTCAAGGACTTAAGAACGGATATTTTAATAATCCTTTTTCGGCTTAAACAAAATTAAAAAAGAAATGTTTTTGTCTTTTTCTTCATAATTTCGCTTTTTAACAAAATTATTGCGGGTAGTTTCTTTTTTTTTGTTTTTATGTTCTTCATCTTTTTCAAGTTGAATTAAAAAGAAATAAATTTATCCTTTCTCGAGAAAATTTTGTAATTTTTTTATGTCCTCAAAGTATTTGTACGTCAAACAAATTCGATCGGGCCTGTGAGGCATTTTAACCAAAAAATATTTTTTAAATATATTAATTTCGTTCCGTACTAATGGAAAAACACTTGATCAGTTAGATTATATTATTAGGCTTTCCAAAAAGTCAAATTTAACTATAAATCAGAAAAAAATATAATAACGAACCATCCTATACCAAAAAAATTTACATCGTTTGCACTGAACTTTTAGTATGAAAATAATTTGAATACCTAGTTTTAGTAACATTACAAATTTATTTTATTATCTTACAGATTATGTCGTGAAATATCATTTGATTTCCGAACACGTTTACCTCATGGCCTTTTGGTTTATCATAATGTTAAAAATCCAGATGGAATTGATTTAGCACCATACGCATTGTATGTTATAGTTGAGAAAGGACAATTAAAAGTTGTACATGTTTTTGGTAAACATTCAACAAGTGTTACAGTTGGTGAAGGTTTAAATCGTGATGAATGGCATAGTGTTACGGTAAGAAAAATAACTATTATATTATTTTAGTTTTAAAAATGTTGCAAACGCAATATTACTCTTAAATTAGCTCTGGTTTTCATTTAATTTGAAAATTGAAATAATTAGCGCTAGATAATATGAATGAAAATTTGTTTCCAATATTTATCAAACATTTTCAAATCAACTTAGCATCAAATACCCAAAATATACAGGAAAATGAGGGCATAAATTTAAAATTTTCCAAATTTTTTTTTTTTTGTTAATTTATTTGCCAAGTGAAAATTGGTCAATTAAACTTACTTTAAATTTAATAAAGTTTCTTTTAAAATAACAAGAATTTCATCTCTTAGTCGATTCGATTGAAAATTATTGAAAATTATTTTGGTTTTCAGTTATACCACTAACAGAATACATAATTATTGATGATTAATTGAAAATTCTTATTTTTCTTTTTTATTATTTTAAGGTACGAATTGATGTACATGGCGCTAGATTAATAGCAAGGGTCGATAATAGCCAAGAAGAAGTTTATTTAAAAGGATTAAATCATGATACAAACTATGGTGTTTCAACAAATTTACCTTCAGTTGTATTGGTTGGTGGTAAGATTTAATATAAATTTGTACTATAATAAAATTATTCTTCAATTGGCCTCAATCTGCTTCTCAAATTTTAAGAAAATAAAATTCATTTTCTTAATTTTTCTTTTTAAATGAAACTTGTCGTTTAATTTTAAAGACATTTGTGTCGATTGTTCGATTTTATTTAATTTTCTTTTATGCAACTGAAGTTATGGACGACTTGTGATTTCTTAATCGTATTATTTCTTTTCCAATTGGAATTTCAATAGTCTTCTGACGATTGAAAATCGTATAATTGAAAAAGAATTTTTTTTATTTTAAATATCTATTGATAAAGTCCTTGTTTTATTTTTGTATTAAGTCTTAAAGTAAAATAAATATGGCCAGAAAATTACGCCAATAACATATTATATCCTTGAACATATTGTATTCTATTATCAAGGATAATATTTAAGACTTTCGAACTTAGAAGAATTAAAATGGATTTTTTCTTAGGATAAATTGTAGAAATGTATAAAACTTTCTGGAATATATAAAATTAATTGATTTGCATTGTAAAAGAATTAAATTAAATTCTGTCATAAAAGAAACATTCATAAATTTTATGAATTTTTTTAAGAACTGTAGAAAAACTTAATTATAATCATTATTACAAATTATCGCTTTAAAGCTTAACAAAATGAATTATGTAAATGAAAGGACGTTATGTTTTAAAGCAATTTTGAACGCAATTTTACATATTTAAGAAAAAATTTTGTATTTGAAATTTTAAAATTCAGAAATTATGTTCTCAGAAGTTCGTATATATTATGGGAAGTAAATTTAAAAAGAAAATCATATGAGTTTTCAGAAAAATTATAGAAAATAATTATAGAAAATAATACAAAAATTTAATGAGGACTTTTTAAAACTTTGCTTACTAACTAACAAAATTCAAGTTGTACAAAAAATAATATTTTTTTTCTAAAAAATTATGCGTTCAATTCATTTTTAATTGCACATATTGTTACGATATTCATTTTAAAAATTAATTAAATTGCTCAGTTTAAAAATTTAATTAAAATTTTTTGAAATTCAAATATTTTTGTATTCGGGTTTTTGTTGAAATTTTCTTTTAAACTTTTCTTCAGTAGTTGAAATTATGTTCAAACACAAAAAAAACCAAATTTTTCAATTTTATAATTCAATTCGAAAGTTTATTACATAATATACTCAAAATGTTCAAAATAGTGCCTTTAAAGAAAATTTAAATGACTACTTTAAAATTTTCGAATATAAAAACTGATTTTTAGTTTTTTTTTTGATAATAATGTGAACCTACATGTAATTTAAATGCAAAGGAATTAAATTGCAGAAAAAAATATTTAATTTCGTTTCAATTAAAATGCTGTATAGAAAATTTTCATAAGTAAACAATCTTGAGTTGCATGTTAAATCTTATTGTCATGGTTTATATAGAAAATAAGTTTTTGAAAATAATTAGAAACAAAACATGAAAGACCAAATTATTTCTTATTACTTATATTTTTTATTATATTTATTATCCTTATGACTTGCAATGCTGCCAGAATTGGTAAGTCAACTTAGAACCCCGCCCCGCACAACTTTTTTATTTTTTAATCTGGCCTATTTGTTTGTTATGCTTTATTTAAACTGAACATAACTACAAACTTTTATGATACAATATTATTATTATAATTGCCAATTTTTTCATATTATAAATTTTTCTTCTAAAGTTAAATTTAAAACCAATTTTCTCATCGAAAAAAAATTTAAAATTTAATGAAAATTTCAAAAATTTCTTTAGCAATTTTAATTTTTCCTTTACAAAATATTTAATATCCTCAATAAGGAATTTAAATATCCTTAAATTAAATAACAAAATTTTCTATTCAAAAAAATTTTTCTTTAAAGTTCTTTATTTTCTGAATTGTTAATATTTTTTTTATTATGCTACTTTTTTTTGTATATTTTTGTACAAAAATTTAAGCAATATTCAAATCTATTTGACTTTAAAATTAAAAAAAAAGCAAAAAACCTTTTATTGTAAAAATTTATGTAATATAAAATTAAAAAATAAAAGAAATATTCTTGTTAATTAATGCTAAAGCTGCTATAAAATCCATTTATTTTGTCTAAATTATAATAGTTTTCCTCAATTATCCTTAAAGAGAGAACCAAAACAGAAAGAATAAACGTTCGTTTATAATGGGAAATGTTAAAATTTTTAATATAATCGCATACATATTCAAACAATATAGTCATTTATACATTTGTACAGTTGTATATATTGGGTTCCATGTAATCTGTCTATTTCATTTTATCCTTTTCCAGATTTACTTTTATATACCGTCAATCTATGGTATAAATACCAACTCTGACAATAAACTTTTCACCAGAAAATTTAAATAGAAATTAAAAACTTTTCGTTTCTGTGATCTTCCTCTTGCTTTTTTTTTTTTTTCATTTTTTTGGGGGATAATAACAATGCAATAAAAATTTATAAGAAAAACAATATAAAAATTTAGAAAAATTAAAATAAAATGAAAATATCGAAAGAAAAAAAGCCAAAATGGCGAAAATTTTTGCCCAAAAATTTTCGAATTTTTTATCCTTTTCTTGTTTTTTATTTTTTTGCTCTCATTTTCTTTTTAACAATTTTGTTTCTTTTTTATTTCATCTCTTTTTTTCTAATTAAAAAAAATAAAAAAAACAATAATTAAAAAATAATTTTTTTTTTGTTTAAGTTTTTCATTTCAAAAACCTTAAAAATTTTTAAACACAAATGTTGCATGCTCACATTTTTGTTCGAAACAGCCAAAAAAACATTCATTCTAACACGTACACTAGCATCAAATATGACGACGACATACTGATTAAAATATTCTGTTTTTTTTTTTATATTATTATTGCAGGACTATCATCTGAGGAGAAACTTCATGGTGTTAAATATATAATTGAATCATTTGTTGGTTGTATACGTAAAATAACATTAAAATCTGGTAAAGCTGCATCAGATCTTTTACCTATTATGCCATTAATTGCTACAAAACATGAAAATGTCAATGAAGGTTGCATTAACAAATGTCATAGTAATTCAAATTTATGTTTTGTTGGATCAAGATGTATAAATCATTATTATGATGTGTCATGTGATTGTTTTAGTACAAATTATGAAGGTGAAAATTGTGACATTTATAGTAAGTATTTTTTTAATATGTTTAATTTTTTTTTTTAATTTTATAATAGAAAATTGCATAAACGTTATATAATGAGTTCACTATGTTGAATTGTTTTTTAGGTCAAAATTTAATTTTATTACATTAAGAAATTAAACAAATATCAGTGTATAGTAATAGAATTTTAAAAAGTAGGACATGTTAGTTGTTGTAATATAGGAATGGATATGGGGAGGAATTACTATGTTGAAAATGTTTACTATAAAACGGGCTGGGTGGTTTGATTCATAAGCATATTAAGTAAATGCGTGCGTGAAAAAGTGGAACCGTACTTAATTACTAAGCACTTTACCAGTTAAACTTGCAAACAAGTGATACACAAAATCAGATGAAACCTAATGGTGGCAAGAAGCTATTTGTTCAAAAAATGGGTTGACATAGAATTAAAATTAAAATTTTGTTAATTTTGAAAAACAAGTAAACTATAAAGTATTTGTTAACTTCATACATATAGTTAAAATATTGTTAGGTTTGGTCGATATAACATCCATTGTCATCATTAGAAATAAATTCTAATGTAAAACTGAACTAAAGCCAATGTGCTGAGTAGAAAGAAATGGATACTAGAATAATTTGTTTAATAACTTTCTATCTTAAAGGGCTTAGAATTGCTAATACGCATGAACGTGTTCATGCAAGCATACATGTGCAGATCCATATTGCACCAAAGCTCAGAATATGTTTTAATATATATTTGTGTTCCTAAAAAATCACTGATACAAAGATGAAAACAAGTCTAAATCATGATGTTTATAAAATTCTATTGTTCGTGTAACCGAAAAAATTCGCTAAATTAAAAAAAAAAAAACAAATTTTAAATTAGTTAAAAATATTTTTTTTAAATGAAATCACTAACATGAAGCTATGAATAGCAAGAAAAATTTTTTTTTTGAATTTCCGCTTTTAAGATAGTTAAAAAGTTTCATGATTATACTTTGAAAAAAAAATCTATTAAATATTTATTTAATAGCTTCTTATTTTTTTATGTAATTTGCGAAAGTTATTATTGTAAACATTCAACTTAAATTTCTTAAATTATAAACTGAGAAACTTTTTTTATATAAATCTATTATACTTTATATAAACAAGCAACACTTCCTTGCCGGAAACTATTTTTTTTTTCTTGAACAAAAGGCAAACAAGAATTAAGCAAATCCAAAAATAAAAAGCATACACTGGCGATTTTTTCATGGTTCCTTTTTATTTTTTTTTATGATATTATTATTGTTATATAACAAAATATTGTTATCCTATATAATATTATTAAAATTATATATTTAGAAAATCTGAACTTAGAAAATTACACAATTCCATACACATATTAACATATATAAGCAGCGTTTCATTATTGTTTGTATTATATAATAAGTGTAAGGGATAGTAGAGATTTATTTACAAAAAAAGAAAAAGAAATTTATTAAGCTGAAATTAATAATAAAAGAAATTTATAATGAAAATAAATAAATCTTTTTTTAACATCACTCGCAAATCAAGCATTAACACAATATTTTTTTGTGTGTATTGAAGAATTAATTTTACTAGGAAAATGGTATCGATTCATATTGTATTGAAATTGTAGTTGAAATAGGGAGCAATCATCATTATTATTTGGAAAATAATTGTGAATTTTAGCTTGTATTTGGAATAAGATAAATTTAAAGATGTTAATTATTTTGCTGTGTAAAAATAACAACTTAGAATGTATCTGCTCTGTAAAAGGAATATGTCTATTAACGTTTCTAGATTAGAATTTGATGACAATTTTCATTTACAACAAAAATGAGGTGAATTTTCCTAATAAATTATAATAACACAACAGTGTTTTTGGTACAATACATTGGTATTCACTTCGATCTACTGGCTAGTTCCAATTTTATAAACTTAAAGTTAATGTACATATTGACTAGTTTCAGTTTTTACATTAGTAAACACCTCAGTCAAAATTTATGTCAAAATATTAATCAGGTCAAAAAAAAATTTTAAATTTTTTACCAAGGAAATTTTAAAATATGGCAACTAGAAATAATAAAATGTCTTCATTAAAATTGATGAGGAAATTTTAACGCTTTAAGGAAGTAATTCTTTTATTGTTGGCCACAAAATGAAAATCTGGGTAAAGTTCTAGATAAATGATATAAACTATAATATATGTAAGTACAAATTTGCTCTAAAATTGTAAACGTGACCACAACAAATGTAGTAGATGCTCCTTTATTGTGATGCAAAAGAAATAAAAGATGTACATGTAGCCGAAAATTGAAAATAATTTCTTATAGTCACGCAACTATAATTAGGAAACAACATATTATATGATGAAAATAATCTCAGATAAGAATCTGTTTTAAAAAAAACAGCACTTCGTGTCTATAGTTTTATGAAAATAGAGGTTTTATTTCTTTTACTTATATAAAAATAAATTTCTTATTTAAGAAAATGAAAAAATTCATTAAAATTTTTTTTTTTCATAATTTTATTAATTTTTTTTTTTGCATTTTAGCTGCAACAATATTAACATTACGTGGTGCCAGTTATGTTTCATATCGTATATATGATTGGAAAGATCGTGTACATTCACCATCAACACGTATTAGTATTATATTTAAAACTGGTTTTGATGATTCAGCATTATTTTATGCTAGCGGTGAATCAATAAAACAACAATATATTGCTGCATCCCTAAAAAATCAATCAGTTTATGTTGAAATCGATTTTGGTGATAATATAATGTCAGCAACATTAGGTGAAGAATTAATACGTCATGATTGGCATAATTTAACAATAATACATAATCAAAGAACAGTTAGATTAACATTAGATTATCAAACAAAAATATTAGAAATACCATCATCAATAACATCAAAATTATTATTTGATCCAGAAATATATTTTGGTGGTAGTCCAGATCCATATAAAAAAGGTTTAATATCACATAATAATTTTGTTGGTAGCATGAAATATGTTTATTATAATGATATATCAATATTATATGAATTAAAAAAAGGAAATCCTAAAGTTCATTATCATGGTAAGTTAGAAATTCATTTAATTATTTGTTATATACGTTAATGTAATAATGATATTATAATTAATTATATTAAATGATAATCAAGAAAATAGGGACTATAATGTATTCTTTAAATGATTTATATTAAGAAATTCATTAATTTGTAGTGATCTGTATTGATTTGAATATGATTTATTATGAAAAATATTGTAATTTCCTGATATAAAATCGAACAGATATTTTTATGTTTAAGGATAATGTAATTTTATTATAGAAATAGGCTAAGATTTCGTTAGAAAGCACTAACGATGTAAGCTATAGCTAGTGGAGTTGGAATACGCGGAAAACACAAATTAATGATATCTCCGCAACACTGCCCCACCTTTTGTATTTTAATTAATACTTTTCTTACGAATAAAGATCTGACGTGAATGAAAAGGAGTTTATTATTTCCGATTTAGACAGAATTTTATTTTATTTTAAATTTAGACATAAAATGACGAACATTTTTTTTTAACAACGAAAACACTAAACTAATTAAATTACACCAAATGAAAAATTAAAATTATTGCAAATTAAATTAAATCTATTTAAATTTATCAATTTAAATTGCAACACAATCAATTAAATTATAAATAAAACTCCAAAAATAATTCAAAAATTTTATCCTCATATCTCTTGTTTTATTTTTCAATTTCTTAAAAATAATCAAAATATTTTATTCAATTCCAATGTCTTAAATATATTGACAAATAAATTTTTTTTTTCTATTATATTGTCCTCTATCTATAGTTTATAATGTAGATTTATTCATTCAACAAACATTTATATGTATATTAATGCATAAATATATTTTTAAACGCAATGATTTACATAACCTTCTATCATCCATAAAGCTCTTCTCAACTCTTATATAAATACTTTATTTGAGAACACCATTTACATTTTAATTTTATTATAATAATAATCCAATTTCATTTACTCTTTTATGTACACTCTCCAGCTTATATTCGTTATTTAAAATAATAATGAAATATAGAAAGAATAGTTGAAAAAGGGATGATTTAGGAGGAACTAAAACAGAATTGAAAAAGGACAATACTGGTATTCATTTTATAACCAAGAAAAAAAGAAAAGCTATTCATTTAAAGAATTTCCAATAAATCGAATTAGTGCAATAAAAACGCCCGTAATGATCCATATTGAAAGCATTTTAGGATAATAAAAAAGAAAAAAAAAATCTCATAAAATATTTTATACATTAAACATCCATTCTTTTCCTCCCTCTATTTAATTATACATAATAATTTAATACATTATATATATACACCTTACTATATACTTACATATTTGCATTACTCTGTATTGTAGAGAGTAATGTTTATATACGGAATGTTTGGGACACAATGGAGATCGCATGCATTCTTTTAAAAAATAGCACCAAAAATTTCTTATTTTAAAAAAATTGAGCATATACTCGTATATACAGAAAAATAAAAACAGAAATGATAACAAAAAACAAAGTTCTAAAATCCATAAAAATATCCTTTTAGATCCTTTTCATTTTCCTTTTTTTTATGTATAGACTTCTTAATTCCCATATGTAAGTATTTTTCTTTCCTTTTTTTTTTTTTTAACAATTTTTCTTTTCTTCTACACAACTCTCCCATATATTTAATATAAAGTTTAATATGTCTGAGAGCACATATATACACTATACAATTTCATTTTTATATTATTATTACAGGCGTTCTTGAAGCTGAATTTAAAGAATCTGAAGTTGATGTCATTCCAATTACATACCCGTTTGCAACATCTCACATTTGGTGGCCAATAAATCAACCGAATCAACTAAATATTAAATTCGATTTTCGTAGTAGTCGGACAACTGCTGTCCTTGCATATTGTGATGTAAAAACTTCCGAAGGAAATGGAATTTGGGAGGTAATGTAATAATTTGTTATTTTACATCATCATACTATATACTTATACTTAACGAGTATTATACAATATTATTCATATATTATATTATTTAATGTATATAAATTTTATTATAAGGAGTAATTTTTTTACATAATATAGCAATTTTTTTTTGTATAATATATTCAAACTATAGGATGTTTTAGAAAGAAAAAAGTGATGTCATATACATATAAAATTTATTTATAATTCTCTATGAATTTTTTTTTAGCTCCAAACTATATTAGCGTTTGGTTGTCAAATGAACTTTAAATTGAATCCAAATTGTAAAATTAACTTAAATATAAACTAATAATTAGTATTTTGGATAAGAGGTTCCAATTGATATTAATATGACAGAAGTATGAGTGTATTTGCTGTCGACAAATGTAGAAATTGCTCTGAAAAATGCGAAGTCAAATTAAAATACTTAGCGAATTCTTAGCGTCGGAAATTGCTGAGGAGTTGCTAGATTCTTAACAGAGATTTTTGGAAAAGTAAATATCAGTGAAACTCTGGGGCGGTATGGTTTTTGAAAAAAAAAAATAAAACAGCACTTCTGGTCGAATTTTGGGGCTTGAGTCTAATGAAACACGGAACATGATGTATGTTCCTAGATTTCTCCAAATAACTGAAAGAAACAGTTTCAAGAAATTTATTCAGCAAATTTGTTACACATGAATTTGTAATTCTTCTAGGAACTTGCGACTGCGAGTATTGTTCTACAAATTTTTTGAGTTAGACATTTTAAAGCAGCCTAAACCATCATATCTTTTCACTTTTTGCTTTAACGTAATCAATATTTTTTTTAAAACAAAATTCTAAAATTTTACTTACATTCCGTCGTTGCACTTGAGCACTCATGCATAACAACAAAAAAAAAACCAAGCAGTTCAATGCAAAATTTCACATAAGCACAAATCTACATGCATACATCCATATACATATCTGAGGACACAGGATAATAATATCCTTATCTTTCTCCGAAAATGAAAATTTCAAATATTTCATTTAATAAAAGTTTTTAGAAAAAAAGCAAAATCAAAGAGCAAAAATATAAGAAGAAAAAAATTTTTAAAGACCCGACAAAAGTCAGAATGCTTAAAAGTCGAGTTGTCTATAATATGTGAAGCAAAAAGTTCATTCGTTATTTTTCTACATTATGGTCCTGAAATTTCTTATAAAATAAATCAAATGGACGACAATTGAAGAATATTGAAATTATTTTTGTTGTTTTAATGTTTGATTATTTTTAATATTGTTTTTATTGTTTTACATAGACACCCCCACAAACCAACTCATTTTTATGTATGTATGTTTTTCGATAATATGTTAACAAATTATTCACATTTTAAAGGTCTATTAAGAATATTTAGTGCTTTAGGTGATATAGAAAAGCAATTGAAGAAGAAAGGATAAGATATTACAAAATATTTATTTTATTAAATAATAATGTATCCTTAAATAAATTATTATTATCGGGACTTTAAGAGTATATTGGTATGATGACTTTGTTTATGTAACAATATTGTAGGGAATTGAAAAAGAGAATCAATTTAATTTCTCTTTTCGAAAATTATTTAAATTACAGTGTAGTCAGTTCACTTTTTATAATTTCAAATGATAATTCTACTTAAAGTCTGTATGTTTGTCAAATATCAGATATTTAATTTAAAATCAGTTCAACAATTACTATAGTGTTGTCGTTTTGTAATTTTTAATCAAATGATAGTATGGTGATGAGAATTAGACGCTATTGGAATACATTTTGCAATAGATTCTTTATAATAAATGTGAAATATTCAACTTAAGGCTCGTGGCCTACCTAGTAAACTCAATGAAGTAAGAAGCTGGTTCATGGTTATCTACAATATCATATACTAACCCTTTTTACAGTTCTAAAATAAGATAAAAAACACAATAATCAAGTTTATATATTTTTTAGGTAGAAGAGAAATTCACGTTGAGCTATAAAAGGTTATAATGCAAAACGAGAAATTGGGGAACTTCTATGTGCATTTTCTAATCAACCAGTAATGAAAAGCTATATTTCCCAACTGACTTTGAATGCATAAATAAAAAGTCAAACATTTAGTAGACGAACCATCTCATAACATCAAATTTTATAGAAACTTAGAAAGTTATGCACTGAAAAATATTTCATGCAAAATTATAGCAATAATTTCACATGAATAACATATAGAGAAGCATTTTATTAAGTGTGAGGCTTCCAGAGATATCGAACATTTTTTTTTAAATTTAAATTCAGACTCTCTTCATTGAAAATGTAAATTACTCTCATATACCTTCTCTTCTTTTATAGTCTCTTATATAAACGTGCGCAATATCACGAAGTATTTAATAAAATATAACATTTATAATTAATAATTTATAACATATATCCAAACAACCGGGGCTTGCTATAAATAGTACAAGAATTACTGTAATACGTGCCCTTAGTATATCATTGTCCCAATTTTGTGCAGTTGTGTTGTATGTATTGAGTGCCTGTTTAATATTCTAAAAAGCATGGCAATTAATAATGCAATACGCGCTCTAACACTCCGTATAAATTAAATACTTTTAAAGTAGATTAAAAATTATTGGCGACCTTTTTATGATAATGTTTAGTTTTAGTTGCAAACTCTAACATAATTCCCTGTAATCATAGCCCTTTATCCAATGTTATGCAATCTTAAATCAATTTAAAAACCAGTTACTATAATTTCGAAGACTCAGTTAACATTCACTTTTTTATTTAGTGTTAATTTCAAAAGTCGTTCTAAAAATAATTGCCACCACCATTTACGTATAGATTTTCCGTATACTGTTTATTGGTATTGATATTTTTCTTTTACTCCCATTTTTTTTTTAAAGTATAATAAAAAAATTTTTATCGATAAAAAAATTAAAATAATTTATTAGCGTTTATTGAGTGAAAATGTGAGTGTGTACACGCTTTTAATGTGATTTTATTTCGGATTTAAAAAAAACGAAAACCATGAAAAAAGAAATAAAGCGTTTCTGAAGATTTATTCGAAGGGTTTTTGAATTCTTTTTTGCTATTTTAAACGAAAATATTTAAGGAAATTAAAATTTCATATTATTGAGATTCATAATTGGCACATTTTTTAAATTATAATGCCATAAGTTTGACCTAAAATTGATTTTAAATGGTGAACGCTACACAATCAAAAAAATTTTTTAAAGTTTTTAAAGTTGAAAGAGTACTTCTTTAGAATAAAGAAAATAGTTTTAAATTAATAATATTTTTTCAGGAAGAAGTTGAATATTTTGTGGTATGAATTGTGACCGTTTTGCAACAGAAAATAGGGTGCACAAAGTCACGTGATAGTTTTTGAATAATCTTGTAGCCCTGTCAGGAACACGCTCTCTTATAAAGTTGTACGTATGTAACTTACCAGCAAGACGTTTCTTTATATAAATTTTGAATCCATTTGCTTTGATATTTGGTTAAGAAAGTTTTCTTCTTTATTCTTAGATTACAGCTACTGTGTACCACCTAAGTAATTAGAAAATCAATTAATATAAGACTGCTTTAATTACAGAATGAATTACAAATTTTTTATTTCATATCGTATTGAGAGTCAAGGGTTATAAGTACACCTTCTAACTACAAACCCCTTTGCGATTTTTATCCCTGGAGTTAAATGTGCATTATCTGCTAACGTTTTTATGTTTCGCGTATCTTAGATTAGGGCAAAACCTAAGAAATATCATCTCTGTAGTTCTGACATTTAGACAAAAAGTTATTAAAATTTCACGAGCATTAAAATTCTTTATGCGTGTACCTAGAAATTTTTATTAGTTCTACGTAATATGAAGTAGTAGTACTCATATATATTCGTATTATATAAAAAGTTTTAGTGCTTTATTTCATTTTGTAAGTAGAATACTTTATGTGACTAGAATATAGTAAGAAATAGTTTACTTATCCCACCCCACGCATTCAATCCGAATTAATTATATATCAAAAAAATTTGTTTCAAAAAATTATTTCTATAATTTTTAGTACATCAAAATAGAATATTATATGTGATTTTCATTGCACTCCAAAGTATAATTATAAATTAAAATCTTTAAATAAAAAAAAGTTGAACAATTTATTCATAAAAATTTATGACATTTCATATATCTACCGTTATTAATTGTTTTAAGATGACAAATTTATTTATTTAAATCCCATTTCGAAAAATTTTAACCCCTTTTTATGTTTGCTTGAACTAACTATAAAATTTATAAATTATTTAAATTTTATATTATCTATATTAAACATACATAAATAAAAAAAAAATAATGTGTCCCTAAATGTATGCAATTTCAATTAATTTTCAATTTGTCAGAATAACTCTACTTGAGGTCCTATTAAAAATAAAACTTTATTTTGGGTATTATAGTGAGAAAAAAAGATAATTTTAAAATGCTATTCTTAAATAATTTTTCATTCAAGAAATTTATTATTGTCTCTTTCTTGTTTTCTTTCTTTTTTCATTCTTTCTTATTTATTGTTGTCTCTTTTACTTCAACTTAATTTAATTTAAAGTCATGAAACGGTATACTCAACCTTTTTTTATAGTTTTTATTTAAAAGAAAACAATTTAAATATGGCAAAGAATACAGGAGAAAAAAGGTGTTGTAAGAACGAGGTGGATAGGGGGGAAGGGAAATAAAATTAATTTTCATAAATTTCTTAGAGAAGCACAAAAAAAAATCCTTTTTATTCCTTTAGTTCAGTTCACCTTTTTTCTACTCTTTATACCCGTACGAACGTATGTTCGAAGGGTATACTAAATTTGCCTTACCGTTTGTAACGCTAAGAAATAACGGTGTTAGATATAGACTCAAGTGTATGTTTTTGATCAGCGTCAAATTCTGAGTTGATTTAGCTTTGTCTGTCCGTCCGTCCGTCCGTCCGTCCGTCCGAACGATAACTCAAAAACTAATTGAGCTAAGTTCACCAAATT